ATCTGTAACTGAAAACAATTTTTAAAAAATTTTGTTAGATGTTGATGAATCTTTATTCATTTATTTATTGTGCTGAGATTCGATCCAGTGCCTTGCACATGCTAGGCAAGCGCTCTATCTCAACTGAGCCCCAGCCCCAGCTCCTTGAGACTTATTTTTTAAAGTTCATGTTTTTCCCTTCCTCTTCTCCCTGTCTCCCACCTAACCTGGGGGCGGGGAAACAAGATCACCTGGAGTTATCCAGGCTCCACAGGAAGGAGATGTCTGCCTGAGGATCTAGGAAGTGACTTTCTCCCAAATTAACAAATGAATCCTAACATACCCTCAGGGCGCCCTGGGAACCCCCGTCGGGGCACACCTGGACTGTAGCCTTTGAATAGCTTTTTAAAAAGCCCTGCTTTCCCTAATGGGCAGAATCACAGGGACAGGAGTCTCCTGTTTCTCCTTTGCCAGCAAAACAATTTTAAAAAAATTCCTTTAACTTAGAACCGTGTCCTTATTATTAAGTTGGCATGAACTGGCATTGGGGACAAGGATCGAGCTTTCGGTTACAAGGGCTCCACCACTGAGCTATAACCTCAGCACCCTTACTTCTATTTTCTAAAACAAAACGGCACCCAAAACAGGTGAGCGAGGGAGATGCTGGATCCGGAGGCGGGACTGAGCGCCGAGGTCGTAAGGCTTTATGCATCTTGACCGTGTCCTCACAGCTCGGCTCTCTTTAATAAGACCCCTGAGCCCCAGGCCCCGCGGCGGCCGCGGGGCTTTCCAGCGGGCTGTCTTAGTTTGTCGGCGGGTGGAAGTCCAGTCCAGGACCGGCGTGCCCTCGCCCAGCGTCCTCACCGCCCGGGCCCGCCAGGTAGATTGCCGGGAGATATCTGGGCAAACCGGAAGTTGCCGTGGGGCAGCGGGACAGGAAACGTGGGGACACCAGCCAGGCCAGGCACGCACAGGGTGACCCTTCCCCCCCGCGAGTAGGACTGTTCTCGGGAGCGCGCAGGTGAGGGCCTCAAGACGGTGGCTCAGTGAGGCGGGACGGGGGGAGGGGGCGGGACCATCTTGTCTACAGCCAATCACTGTCGTCTTCCGTGGCGCTTGGGGGGGGCGAGGTGGCGTCGTTGCCTGGGAGACAGCTCTCGGCAACAAGTTCCTGCAGGCTGAGGAGCGCGCGGGGCCGGAAGGAGCGCGCGGGGCCGGAAGGTGCGCGCGGGACTCCCGGGCTTCTGCGGCCTCCTGCTGCTCGGAATTTGCATTCCTGCTGCGGTGTCAGCTTCACTGGAGCGGGTCGCGGGGTCGCCTTCTTGCCTCCGGAGGTCTCCCTGGCCTGGGCATCCTTAGTTATTTTTCTTCTTTTAAAAATTTTAAACCCTATGAGCACTTCTGCTGATTACCTTTTCTTCTTTGTTAACGTTTAGAATTTTCTCTGCTATTTATTATTTTTACTTCCCTTCTCTCGTGTTCCTTTATTTCCCCTATTGGTTGTGTCTTTCCTTCACCAGGGCGCATATCCGCATCGTCTGTCTCTAGTTAGCTGCTTTAGTTAGTGTATTATTTTGTTCTGGTTTTAGACGATGTTGTTTCTAGTTTTCATTATTTTTTAAGACTTAAGTTAACTGTCAGGCTGATCTCTGCGAGTAGATGGGGATTTATTTACCAAAGGTGGTGTCCTCTCCTTACTCAAGTTCAGGGCAGCCACCAGGAGTTGACATTTGTTGAGGGTTTCCCAAACCTGAAGCTCCACTAGGCGCCTTTCTCCATGGTAGTTAATACTTGTGACAGGCTCTGAGGTAAGTAGGTAAGTACAGCCCTGAACTGGTGGCCTGTTTGCTGAATGCAGAGAGGCTGGACGTGTACCGAGTTTTTTTTTTTTTTCCCTCCTTTTTTTTTCTTTGTGATACTGGGGCAATTCTAACATTGAACTATATGCCCAGCCCTTTTTATTTTTTCTTATAAGACAGCGTGTCTGGCTAAGTTGCCCAGGTTGGCTTTGAACTTGTGGTTCTTCTGCCTCAGTCTCCTAAGTAGCTGGGTTTGTGGGTGTGCAGATTTAAACGTTTTGTCGTAAATTTAAAACTCAGGAGATTTCACATAGAAATCAAATTCTTTCGAGGTGTGGTGGTACAAGCCTATAGTCCCAGTTAGTTGGGAGGCTGGTAAGTTCCAGGTTAACCTGGGCAATTTACCAAGACCCTATCTTTTTTTTTTTTTTTTAAGAGAGAGAGAGAGAGTTTTAATATTTTTTAATTTTTTAATTATTTAATATTTTTTAGTTTTTGGCAGACACAACATCTTTGGTTGTATGTGGTGCTGAGGATTGAACCCCAGCCGCATGCATGCCAGGCGAGCGTGCTACTGCTTGAGCCACATCCCCAGCCCCACCAAGACCCTATCTTAATATAAAAAATTTAAAAAGGACTGGGAATGTATCTAACTGGTAGAATGCTTGTCCTAACATATGCAAGGCCCTGGTTTCAATCAAGGAGAATGAGGAGACAGAAGGAAGGAAGAAGAAGAAATTGAATTTTTTTTTTCCTCTTGAAAAATATTTGAACTTTGGCAATACTGGCCCCCAACTACTCCCTCTAAACAAATATGGTTTTGGATATCCCTGAAGTCCCTTGTACTCTCTTCTTATGTCCAGCCATTGGTCATTTGTGGTTGTTGAAGGCATTACATTTTTTTTTTAAAGATTTTATTTTATCTTTTTTTTTTTTTTTTTTTTTAGATAGAGTGAGAGAGAGAGAGAGAGAGAGAGAGAGAATTTTTCATTATTTGCTTTTTAGTTTTCAGCGGACACAACATCTTTGTTTGTATGTGGTGCTGAGGATCGAACCCGGGCCGCTCGCATGCCAGGCGAACGCACTACCGCTTGAGCCACATCCCCAGCCCGGCATTACATTTTTGATGTGTGCTTTACGCCTTTCTGAACTCTTTCAGAGGCTGCAATTTCCACACAGAAACTGTGGTAACCCGCTCCCCCAGACCTGCTCCGATCCTAAAACCAGCTGTGGAATGCATTTCTCTCCTTTCCAAGAAAGGGTTAAATGGTTAATATCAAGTATATAGTAGGTGCTCAAGGAATTTTCTGTGAACAACCAAATGAATGCTCAAACTTCATTTAGTTTGTCTAGGAGATCTTATGGCAGGATTCAAGCCTCTAGACACCCTTTACCCCTGCAGTATTCCTAAACCAGTACCTTTTGCTGGTAAAGAAATTTTGCCCTGGGGCTTGGGCTTGTGGCTCAGCAGTAGAGCAATAGCCTTGCATGAGGCACTGGGTTCCATCCTCAGCACCATATAAAAATAAATAAACAAAATAAAGGCATTTTGTCCATCTACAACTAAAAATACATTAAAAGAGAGGGGGGAGAAAATTTTATTTTATTTTTTCCCTGAAATTGGGACACATGCACTAATTTTGAACTTTGTGCTCTCTTGGGATTGCATGGGGTGACATGGTCCTCTCCAGCGGTAGTCCTTGTATACTGGAGACTCAGTTCTGCTCCTCATGGACACACTGAATGCAGTTGTGTCATCTTTTCAGGACCCTCTTTGACTTTGTTTCAGTTCATAGCTACCTAGATTGAAAACAGTATTGACTTTGATTACAACTTTGTATGTCCCTCTTCACCCTGGGTTTAGAATGACTGGAAACACTAACTAGAGGCAAATCCCAGGGGTAAATTTTCTTCAGGTTGACAGTAGAATCAAGCCAAATCCAAGGTCTCCTAAAATATTTGTCTCCAAGAGTGGAGTTGCAAATAGATGCTACAAGGGATCAAGTGTCGACCATGACCACCTGGGAGTCAGGTTGTGGGTAAAAAGAATGTAGGTCCAGTATTGCCAAATGTTCTGATTTTTAAAAAAAAAAAATCAATTATATGAGAACTCTGCTGATTTTTAAGTGTTAGAAATTAAGTTTTAAAAAAATTAAATCCTGTGAACCCACAGAGTACATCTGTGAACTAGTACAGGGCTGTAACACTGATCTTGCTGCGCGAAGCAGGGGATCTCAGAGATGAGTCAAAGGAGGCAAGCACAGGATCATCTCTGGGAGGAACATTCCTGTAGGCAGACTCCAGGACCGGGACCCCACCTCTTTGCTGACACTCCCATGCTCTGCCTAGAAGACATGGTTCCTTACCCCAGAAAGTAAAGTACAATCATTCTCCTTCCCATTTGGGGCTTTAGTACCCAGGGTCAGAAGGCAAAGGGAACCTAAGGGGGTGGCATCTGGAACTCCTGGACAGTTGGGTCAGGCCTCTTTACCACTGTTTCCGAGCTGGAGTAGGTTTGGAAAAACCAAATTTATCCCACATATTGCCTGGTGTAGGCATCAGGATGGGCTACAGGTGGTCCCAGCCTATTTCCTTAGTTCACTCCTAGGGAGAGAACTCTGTGCCAGTCTTGGAGGGACCCAGAGGACCCCCTGATCAGAGGAGGCTTAATTGAATCCAGGGGCCTCAAAGAAGTGCTGTGTACTGAAAAAGAACGTCTTCCCTCTACTCAGCAAAGCGCCACTTTTTCAAGGATGACTGCAATGCTCTCTTTGAAACATTATCAGAATCTTTCTAAAAACGCATCGCCCTATTTTTTCGTTTCGGTGCCCCTGCTTGGCGGGCATCACAAATACGTGCTTGGTAAAAGAATCGTCTTTAGCAGGCATTGCTGATCTGGGAATTGCCTTCCTGCCAAGAGCAGGTGCAGCCAAGGCCTGGGATCCCAGACACGGAACCCTCGAAGCTGGGAACCCTGTAGGGCTGCCGCTGCGTGGGGAACGGGATCTGGAAGGGACTTCCTGTTGTCCCTAATCCTGGTCTCCGCCTGATTCCCCCGCCCGCCTAGCGCTGGCTGCAGAACCTCCCTTCCCTGGGGAGGGGCCCGGCTGCCCCTGGTGCCCCCTCTGCCATCTTGCACCTCGGTGAGAAGGGAATGCTGGGGAGGGCGCCTGGATGCCGGGATTGGTACAGGTGGCCAAGATTGCAGGAGGGGACAGGGTCAAAGGTGGAAGGCTTCCGGCTGGCAGGAGAGAAGGGGGCCTGGATCCGGGATTGGGAAGGAGAAGGACATAGTCCGCCAGAACTATGAGCAGGATGGGCATCCCAAGGCCGGAGGTTGCATCGCAGGGGAACTGCTAAGTGGGCAGGTTGATTTCTGGTTTCTAGGCGGGCTTTAAAGCACACGCGGGGCACAGGGTGCATGCCCTGGGGTCAGCGGGGTCTGAATTCTTCTATGAGAAGTGGGACCTCACCAGCACTTGTTTTGTAGGATCTCTGCAGAATTTTCTGCTCTTGATGACAGGAACTACCATTTCAATTTTTCCCCACTTTCCCTGAGCTGTTTGCTCTGAAATGTGGGGCTCAGCAACAAAGCATACGGTAAATAATATCTTTGTACTTTTTTTTTTTTTTTTTTTTTTTAAGCAGGAAACTAAAAACATGATAGAAAAGTAGGACTGCTGAATAGGATCTAGCAGACTTTATTTCCAGGTAGGACCAGGAAACTCTGGTCCAGCATGGAGATTTTTCAGGGCACTTGAAGATGCCTGATTTCTTTCTGCTCTTTCAGGCTCAAGGCCAAAAGCAGGAGGGGGCTTGGCCAGCAAGCAGGAGAAATAACTTGCTGTTCTTCCTAGCTCTCAAATAGAAAATGTCTGCAGATGGTGGAAGCATCCAGGCTGCTGAGAACAAGGAGAGAGCCCAGGAGGTAAGAAGTTCTGGGGGCAGAGGCATGCCATGAAAGAAGCTGGGAGAAGATAATTTTTCTAAGCAGGGTATCTGGGCAAAGGAAGAGTTAGACTCACTGGGGRTGCAGGCCTGGTGGATGGGGGAAGTGGGTTGGAGATATTGGAGAGAAGGTGGCATGATGGGAAATACCCTCTATTTGGCATTTATGGTATAACTGTTTTGCCTTGTTCAGTGAATAAAGGTAGTCAACAGGCACATGGAATAGCAGGGGTGTTCTGTGGGGTCCTCCAGTGAGGTTTTTTCTGAATTGTGCCTACTTGTTCTATGCCCCACTTCCTTCTCCCCAAGACATTTCTCTTCACCTCTCTGGGTCTGAGCTCCCAGTCCTGCCTGCACCACCTGCTGCCTGTGTGTGTGTATGTAATTACCACCTGGGGAGGACTGGGGTCTCTGGCCTTGGGGTTAGAGGACTCTGAGTCACTTGCAGGCAAGGCATGTGACTCAGGCCAGTCCTCTGACCTGTGGGAATCAGCTCTGTCCTTTGTAAAATGCAGATTCTGTACCTGTCATTCCCTCCTATCTTAGAGGAACTAATGGGATGAGATTCATCTAAGCAGTGTCAGCTCATAACTGATCATAATTTTTGATAATGAAATGATAACTCCCACAGCTAGAGCTAAAGTCAGAGAAGCCTGTGTCCTCTGGCCTAGTGTTGTAGTGGTTTAATAAAAATTCACATCCAGTATTAGTGCTTCTGTGTTGTTGTTTTTCTTGGGGGAGGTTACAAGGATTGAACTCAAGGGCACTAGATCACTGAGCCACATCCCAGCCCTATTTTGTATTTTATTTAGAGACAGGGCCTCACTGAGTTGCTTAGCCGCTCACTTTTGCTGAGGTTGGCTTTGAATTCACAATCCACCTGCCTCAGCCTCCAAAGCTGCAGGGATTACAGGTGTGTGCTACTGCGCCACACTAGTGCTACCATTTTTATGCTGTGGAAGTTCAAAGAATTATTACCATTGTTTCATAACAGCTTTTTATGTGTGCCTTGATCCTGACAAGCCTTGCTGATCGACATTCTCCGTTGATGTTGAATTCTGTCAACTTTACACAAAGTAATAATAATAATAATTACCCATACTCTGTGTTTATCCAGAAATTTCTAGAGTGGGTGGCTTTCTCTCACATGTGTATGCCCCTCATGACTGTTCTAGGCAGGCAGCAGAGCAGCTGAGTCTCAGAGGCCAGTCAGGGCATTGTTAGGTCTGCCCTGGACACTCTTGACAGCTGGTCTTTCCCTTCAGGACCGACTGGAACACACACACACCACCGGGGAGGGTGAGGCAGGGATGGGTGTGACTCCCAATAGAAGGCCAGCCTTGCCTTGAGTGACATGAGAACCACCAAGGTTCTCTCAGTGAGAGGATATGTATGCCTTGCCCAGAGTTTTTGAGAGGCCTGATTGTGTCTTCTATTCTTTTTATTTTTTTTTTAATATTTATTTATTTATTTTTAGTTGGGCACAATATCTTTATTTTACATTTATGTGGTGCTGAGGATGGAACCCAGTGCCTCATGCATGCTAGGTGAGCACTCAACCACTGAGCCACAATCCCAGTCCCTGTCTTCTATTCTTATAATGACCTCACTCATCCAATTTAGGGCCCACCCTAGGGGCACTTAACCACTGAGCCACATTTTTATTTAGAGACAGCGTCTCACTAATTGCTTAGGGCTATGCTAAATTGCTAAGGTTGGCTTTGAATTTATAATCCTCCTGCCTCAGTCTCTTGAGCCGCTGGGATTATAGGAATGCACCACTATGCCTGGCTCATCTTGAGATGCTTAGCTTGATTATCTCATTTTCCATTTTCCAGTCTCATTTAATCCCCAGTACTACAACAGCAACAACCACCAAAAACCCTTTTTCCAAATAAGGTCACACTCTGTGCTTCAGGGTAGATGTGAATTTTGAAGAGACACTATTTAACCCAATCTACTTGATTTTATCATATATTAAAAAACAGCCAGGGCTAAAGATATAGCTCAGTTGGTAGAGTGCTTGCCTCAAATGCACAAGTCCCTGAGTTTGATCAATCCCCAGCACCAAAAACAAACAAACAAACAACAACAGCCAGGCACAGTGGCACATGCCTGTAATCCCAGCAGCTCGGGAAGGTAAGGCAGGAGAATTGCGGGTTCAAAGCCAGTCCCAGCCCAGCAAAAGCGAGGCACTAAGCAACTCAGTGAGACCCTGTCTCTAAATAAAATACAAAATAGTGGGGCTGGGGCTGTGGCTTAGTGGTAGAGCGCTTGCCTCTCATGTGTGAGGCCCTGGGTTTGATCCTCAGCACCACATAAAAATAAACAAAATAAAGGTATTGTGTAAAAAATAAATAAACAAACACATAAATAAATAAAATACAAAATATGGACGGGGATGTGGCTCAGTGGTTGAGTGCCTCTGAGTACTATGTGTACTATGGCAATGGCTTGACAAGTCTTTCATCTCTTGCCACTCCATCCTTGCTGGGAGGTGAACTGGAGGGAAAAAGCGAGGTCAGCCCTTCAAGCTGTCTCTTGCATGTGGGTGTGAGTTCTGCCAGCCGGGTTCTGATGCGGGTTGTCATTCCCAGGTTCTAGGTCATGTGCATTCCTGTCAAGAAATGCTCTCTGGGCTGGAGAAGAAGATACCACACATTAAGACAGAGCTGGAAGAGGTGCACTCTGAGGGGACCTCACAGGAGGACAGGGCTCCAGGTGCACGGGATTGGGTGCCTCTAAGTCCTGGCCCTAAGGAGAAAGCTCTCTTCTTGCCTGGGGGAGGTAGGAGAGGGATGTGGACAAAGGTGCCTGGTTAGGCAACTGTGGGGAAGGTGGAGGCCCAGCCTGGGTAGGGCTGAGGGTCCTTAACCTGGAAAGAGACGCAGATGTCTACCTGTGCATATGCCCGCCTGTCTTCTTGGTTTGGGGTGGGGTGGAGTTTGAAGTGGCTGGGTGAGCAGCAGCGTCCAGCAGTTTGAGTCAGTCACCACTCTCCTCCCATAGCCCTTCCTTCTCCGATCCCCATGCTTTCCCATGAGGGAAGGACCCGAGATCGGCAGATGGCCGCAGCGCTTCTCACTGCCTGGTCCCAGGTGAGTGTCTATGCCAGTCTCTTTGCCTCCTCTTCTAGCTGCCCAAGTGGAGGCGGGGCCTTCCCAGATCCCGACTTGGTGCTTAGCCCTTCCAGATCTGCTGGCTCCACATGTAAAGTCATGGCCTCACTGACCTTCCCACTTGGACCTGGAACCTGCTGCTCAGGACTCTCACTGAAGTGCAGCTGGAATCTGAATACCATTTTCCAGGCTTAGGGTCCTCGGTCATTCTGGCCACAGCTGGAGGAGGAAGTGGAGAGATGGGTCTCTGATGTGTGAATCTTCCTTTGGGGTCTGAGCTGAGGAAGGAGATCCTGAGCTTTGGCTGTGGTCCCTAAGTAGTACTGCTTTGTTATTGAAACAACTCTCCCCCAAAAAGGTCTCTTATATTTGACCATCAGGTCAGGGTAGCTGGAGGCAGCAGTTGGGAGGCTGCAATCTCACCACATGTCTTGGTGTCACTGTTTGCCCCACTGTGTCTATAGCATACCTTGGACAACATGCTTCATGTTGTTTCAGATGCCAGTGACCTTTGAAGATGTGGCTCTGTACCTCTCCCGGGAGGAGTGGGGACGTCTGGACCACACCCAGCAGAACTTCTATAGGGACGTGCTACAGAAGAGAAATGGGCTGGCCTTGGGTGAGGGCTCACCTGTAGTAGGGTCATTACCTCCCTACTGGCCCCCCACGTCAGTTCTGCTCCCTTTCCCCACTTTGTTCATTTAGAGAGTAGTGTTCTGTAGAACTTTCCACAGGGATTGAAATATTCTGCATCTGCACTAGAATGGTGTCCCTAAACCCAGTGGCTGTTGAGCATTGGAAATGTGGCTAGAGCAAGTGAGTTTTTAATTTTTTTTTTTTTTTTTTAACTTTGCTCAGCTCAGATTGGAGCTTGAGTAGCCATGGCTGGTGGCTGCTATTTTGGACAGTACTGATCTGGGGATTCTGCTTTTCTTCCAGTCTTTCATTGCTCTAATTTATCCCAGTATTTCTGTCTTCCTTCTCCAAGCCCCAGCTTTGTAGGTGTTTGCAGAGAGCTTGACTCTAGGTCTGTGGGCTGCTCTATGGGTGGCATCAGCTAACCTCTCAGGCCCTATAGGCTCTAGGGAGCCCAGGAAGCATGTGCTTCTCAGAGGGGCTTGGCTCCCTTGGTTTCTCTGATGGCAGGTAGTTAAGTCCCAGGTTTTTACTCCTTAGTTGCAGACTAGTTTTTTTGACAGAATTTGATGAGGTCTTCATTGTGATTCATTCATTCAGTAAATAGCCATTGCATACCTGCTAGTCCAGGTGCAATCTGGGCCTTTGGCAATTCCACCCTTGACTTCAGTGGTAGCCTTAAGATCTCTGTGGGATCATACCAGTCATCCTCACTCCTATAATTATCTTAGGCTTGCATACTACCCGTTGTTAATATTCCTCAGGGAATATTAACAAGTCCAGGCAACAAGTCCAGGCAAATACCAACAAGTCCAGGCAAATCCTGGGAGATCAGAAAGAACTTAGCATCTATTTGTAGCCCCAAGGCAGGCCTCAGAGAGGCTGTAACCCACTTCATTGATCCAAAAAATCCCTTTTCTCCCACAAGTCATGACAGGCAAGGCCCCTCTGCTGTCTTACTGACTTAACTAGAATTCCCAGGGCCTCTCACCCCAGGGAATTGGCATATGGGCCCTTTGGTCTCATGACTTCTTGGTTGTCAGTGTACCTGGCCTCTTGTCCCAGGCCCTCCCACTTGGCCTTTCTGCAGCCTCCAACCCTCCCAGCCACATGCAAGTTCAGGAGTGAGATAGCCCTTCCAATGTCTTAGGCTACTGGGCCCACTGATTGGAGACTGTGACAAGGGAAGGGAATTGCTGTCCTCACCTGGCCTCAGAACCTGGGCTCCTCCCTTTCAAATTCTGAGACTTTATTCAGGGAAACAGGAGTCAGTTGGTTCAGCATTGGAAGGAGTACAGTTGGGTGCTACCCTGAAAGGGGATGGGAAGGGAATTTTTTTTAAGGTGCTGGGGATTAAACTAAGGGTCTCTTACATGTTAGGCAAGTAGCTTACCACTGAGCTGCACCTCAGCCCCCCCCCCCCCCAACACACACACACCTTTTTTTTCCTTTGGTACTGGTAATTGAACCCCAGGTGTTCTGCCACCGAGTTATGTTCCCAGATGCCTTTTAAATTCTTTTTTTTTTTTTTTTTTTTTTGGTACTGGAGATTGAACTCAGGGGTACTTGACCACTAAGCCACATTCCCAGCCCTATTTTGTATTTAGAGACAGG